TGGTTTCTCTACTGTCGAGAGCCCAATACAGCATTGAGGCCTTCTAACTTATCCCGATAAGCAACAGAATCTGCCGTCTTGACCTGTCCGTAAGCGCTCACTCTGCCGAGACCCTCATTGGCCAGGGGGTGTAGATCCCTGTCTGCGATTGGTTGCCCTGGTTTTTTTGAACTTCACGTCAATTGATGCTTTTCCTTTTCCCTGGCATTTCTGGAAGTCTATTCGTTCCATGGTTTTTTTTTTTTTTTTTTTTTTTTTTTTAGAAGAACCGGTAATTAATGAGACGCCAGGGTTCTGTTCAAAGCACGGGCTCTGAAATCAAGCCGCTGGCGTCAACTTGAGATCTGTGAGTGCGAGTGACAGCTTGGAATATGACATGCCATGACACACCATGCAAAACTAGCTTGGCTCTTTGATATTGACTGCCAGGGATATCGTGGACCTCATCTATGTACTCTACACCGCAGAACTGCCGTGCTTCTGGTTTCGTCTCGTATGTCTAGTCTCTCAGCCTCAGCCTAACTCTTGAGACTTGGATCGTGCTCTACGCACGGTGGTTTACACTCCACTTCTTCTGGTGACACCGTATAAGGTCGATCTCGTAAATACAGATTCAAGGCTGCCTTCTCATAAAGGTCGATCAAGGCAATTACTGTCCTCCATCATCATCAGCTTCGCCTAATTCTGACCACAACTACAACACTAATGTCTTGCTTGCATAAATCAGCCCTCGTCATCTTGCACCCGGATGCAAGCATCCTTTTCCTATGTAGTATGCCGATGTTACTAGCTTTATGCTTGTTAGTTTTGCCCATCATTCATTCCTAGTGCCCGCTCAACCACTTACTAAGTTACTATATCCACCAATTCTTCGCCACGCGCCTCATTATTCGGTATTCACTAACGTTTCGACCCCAAAAGACCCTTTCTCCACCGACGATCACTATGTCTCGTGATGGTGATATCGTGCGACACCCAAGGCACTCCTGGCCAAAAGATTGAGTTATTTTTCTATGTACCGGGATTACTTATTTCTTTTGTTAGAGCCTCCTTTTCATCCTAAATTCGTAGCTTGACAGATCCTCGCCATATCTCGCAATGTCGCCGAAAGCCTCCCTATTATCGCACCCTCAGATCCAATCCAATCGCCCTCTTTTTTACATTATAACCCAAGTCCTTGAACAAACCTAGCATCATCGGCCTGCTTCTCAAGTGCTTCCCGCATCCTTTGAGAGTACTGCTGGCGCTGACGCTCATCTGCCGCGACCTCCTTGTTCTTATCCTGGAAATCATCGGGCGTGAACAAGGCATCTCCTGTGAAACTAACCATGCCGAGCTTATCTCCCGTCCAGAAGATGACATTGTCTTCGTTTGGTCGGTCACGATCTTGCCTTGTCTTGGTGGATAAGATCTTCCTTGCGAGATCGTCGGACCCTGGCATGGAAGCGAAGAGTGAAGCTTGAGTGGGCACGTCGCTGTGACCAACCTTGATTCGACGGCACTCCGTATATCCGTCCCTTTCAAACCACTTAATCTGTCCGGCCCCATCTGAGAATGCAACCTTTGTTCCGTGGTTGATCACCGACAGGATGATGGATGAAGCTGCAGTATACCGGTTCTTCATGGTTGAGTTCTGCTGCATTGGCCCGTCACTTGATAGGTCGACAGCGTCAAGGCCATATACCTCGAGCGAGCCTTTGGTCTTGTACTCTCCGCCTGCGATGAGAGTTCTCCCGCTACTGGCTGTCTTGCACTCATGGACTCTCTCAGCTGTGAGCTCACCACGACGTCGTACTTCATGGTCCAACGTGGAGAATGGATAAGGCAGCGCTGCTAAACTGGACAGCCTTGAGCCCGAGTAAATGGACCCCACGATCTTTGGGAAGTGGCGCCTATCGTAATGAAGAATATTGGAGAACCTCCCCGCCACGTAAATGTCGTCCGACACTGCACTGTCGCCGGCTGGTCTTGGTAGGTGTAGAATGCTCGTTGGCGTTGGCTGAGACAATGAGGCGTACGGCGGCAATGGGTTCGGGTCAAAGATTCCTTTGAAAGGATTGTCCTCCTGCCCCGGGATATCTAGCCTCTCCACGACATCTCCATGGAACTGTGATGGCGCCCTGAAGTCTTGAAGATGAATACCCAATGAGGTGCCAACAGTCATTGGGATACCATCCTGGATCTGTGATAGCGTTGTGATTGACCACTCAAATGAATGCCGGTTTACAACTTGAAGGCGGCTGAGATCGACTTCGATGAGATCTACAATTACAGTTATTAGTGAGGTGAGGGGCGGTAGATTATCGTTCCGGCACTTACGACTCTGCACAGCAAAGACAGCCCTGTTATTGCTGTTATTGACACTGACGCATTCAGTGACACCTGTGTCAATCTTTTTGGACCGCCTCGTGTTTTGATCTCCGCGGCCGTCGAAGAATAGGATGTCGGGTTTACTGCTCGCGATAATGCCTCCTCGCTTGCCCCTGGTGCCATTGACGTCCCAAAGACACACAGACCCGTCGTCGAGTGGTGAGACGGCCATCAAACTTCCGATGCCATCATCGCCATTGTTAGGGCTAAACAGGGCCATACCTCTGACCTCGATGAAATGCTCCATAGTGCCCTGTTTCAAGCGTGGCGTCTCAAGCCAGTTGATAGCCGGCGGTCCCTGACGCTGGATGTATTCGTTGTACCATGAGACATGCTCATCAGGAAAAGCCGGATCCCAGTTTGCCATATCTTGAAGGAATTGATAATGGCGTTTGTCAAATCGACATGAATCATCTTGGTCCAGTAGAGAACCCTTTTCGTCTTCAGCTTCTGTGGCATTACTTAAAGATGACTCGGGTAGAGATGCAAAGACCTTTCTGCGATTTCGAAGAAAGGCATACCATGATGAGCGCTCAAAGCAGTGATGTTTCCACAATTCATCATCAAGAACAACATCTCTAAAATTTCGTGAAACGAGTTGAAGTTTGGGTAATTGATGAGGTTCAAGGTCTGATAAAGTGAAAATACAAGTGGTCAGTAGGGTAATTGAGATTGATTAGGTATGGAGCGGTAATAGAGGCTCGTATGATCTATGCGATAGCGGGGTACTGAGGGATAAGAATTAAGGTAAGGCGTAAGGTAAGGCAAGGCAAGGTAAGCTGGGTACAACTCACAGCACAAGATCTGAAGGAGGATCTCATGGGGGAGCTCGTCCCAGTGACTCGAAGTTTGTGCGCACAATGTCATTGTCATTGTAATTGATTGATTGTCCTAGTATGACCCTCGAGAAACTCAATGAGCTAAACGTTAGAGTTGTTGATAAAGTAGAGTTGAACCGAGAGAGAGCTAGTAGTAGAGAGCTGCTTCGGTTGAGTTGGTCCGTTGGTTGGTAAAGTCAGTCGTGGATCGATTAGACTCGATCCCCACGCTGATTTGCGATTCCTAAACCAAAGTGTGGAGTGGCCAGACGGGAAGCGAGCTTGGCAAAGCTTGTACGGGACGGAGCTGTCTGTATTTCTCGAGATACCTAGATGGCTTCAGTGGGGGGAGTGCAGCAAGTCTTCTTGTTAGTGCTGCGATGCAAGCGTGACAGCGACATTAACAATAACAGGTACAGGAGGTTGTGTCAAGATCGGGGTTGAATCTGATGGGAAAGGCAGCGAGCGGGCGGGTCGAAGGGGTTGGAACCTAAGGATTGACAATGGATGGATGGACATTGTGACATTGGCTCGACATTGATTGACTGGGATTGTCGCGATAAGCGATCGGACGAACCGGCAGTTAAGAAAAAGGCGCCTTACGCCTATTCTGACCCCCAATGTCTTAACCAACAGCCCATGAAATGTGTCAACTGCACGGAAGAGCCTCCAATTGGAGGGTTTCAAGGAGTCAATCTCGATCAGTCCCAGCAGAAGAAGCTAAAAAATAAAAGGAGAATATCGGCCGATATATGGGCAACAACTATGCGCAAATCATTCAATGTTAGAAATACTATGTATGGTACCATAAGCTTAGGAGAGATTTTATATAGACCAAGGTAAGGTAGGCTAGCTTAATCTAGGTAAACTTTGTCATATAATATAAGAATAATCATATTCCTCATCGACCACCAATTCTAAAGGATGAAATGATTGGCTATTTGCTACAATTGACATGCAAGAGATTGGCATCTTGTGTAGCATCAGAATTTGAGCCGCCAACATCAACAAGGGGAATCCTTCATCTTGGCGTCAAGTGCCCACCAGCAATCCCAAACCACGCCTGTAATCACCCCAGCGCCATAGGGGATATTGGAGGTACCAGACTTCAAATAGCCCAGACTATATCATGTGTCAATCAGATATAGACTTGGAAACTGTAATAAAATAATAAGTTATGCTTAAGTGGTGATATCGCTTGTTGAGCTGTTGTTGGGGCTAAGAAGAACATCCTTCAACACCCAAGGCTACTTTATCCATCATTTTTAACTGAAAGATCTCTCTTCATATAAAGCAAGCCTGCGGAGCTCATAAAATACACTCGGTAGATCCTAAAATACCGTTGAGCGTACTCTGATCCCTGGCAGCTGTTGGCACTGCTCCCACCAAAATTTGCAGCTGCCAAACCTCATACTCCCAGCTTGAACCCTCCAACCTCCCAATTCATTCACTGCGGCGAACGTGACGAGTTTGGTGCCTCAGTCAACATCTTCAGCCCAGGCGGGGAAAATCCCCTCGCTAGAGTGAACGCAGTCGTCTCACTCACCTGTCGTGATAAACACCGTTTCCCTCACACGCCAAAAGACAACGCTGCTTGAAACAGACAGTCCGCTATAGTAGAACTGCGCGCTCTGAAGACATTGGTTGATCGGTTTAAGAATATATCAGCTAACTTTGAAATAACATCACGCACGTTGAACACCTTTCAGACTCCTCTCTTTTCAGCGTCTCGCTTCACTTCATTTTATCGCACCATCATTCATTCAAAGCTTTCTTACTTTCTAGGTGCTTGAAGCCACTTCAAGCTTCAACATGAAACCGCTATCCGAAAATGTAAGTAACACACTCGTTCACTTACAAACACTCGAATGCTAATGTCAACAGTCGCTTCCATACACTGAGAGCGACAATTCGGCCCGAGATACGCGCCACGGGCGTAACACCAGCTCCTCTTCCATCTCGTGTCATTCGGATCCCTTTGCGACTTCTGGAATTGAGGTTGGGGATGGTGTTCAGCTACGCGACTTCTCATCTCCCGGTCCTGTCATGTCTCGCTGCATGAGCCCAGACCCAACTGGATTCGTCGCTGAGCGTCCATCACGACTCAACAATGAGGACAATGGTCTCACTGTGCCAAAGATCAATGAGCCTTCAAGCGATGATCATGCCCCTTCCGAATGGGAGACGGTCGCTGGAGAGGACGCGTTTGAAAGTCATGCCGAATCTTCAACTCGGCCGCTGAAACGTCGAGGCAACTTCAATTTTGAGAACAAACAGCAAAGCCAATCTCGGCCGAATCAGAATCTCTGGGTACCGCAAACGCACAACTTTGAGCTCGTCTCACCTGATGACCCGTCCGTGCGAAATGTGCCGAGATCAGCTCCCCGTTTGCACTCGTTTCACTCCGCGTCCAGCTTCTACAGCGAATCACCTCGCAACAAAGACCCAGACACCTGCGTCCCTTGCGATCCCGAAAACTACACACCAAACAATCATGCACATAACGCACTCGGGAGGTACTCTCGTGCCTCATCCGACAGCGATGAAGACCCTTTCAAGTATGACACAGATGCATACTCGGGCTTTCTACGTTCGTCGGCCGAGCGAGAAGTCAGTAATGCGCTGCACCAAGCCGGCTTAGCCGTGTCCTCAAAGGAAACACTCCCGCGATCTGCTGATGGGAGCTTTCCCGTCGCTTCACAGAGAGTTGCTCCTGTCGCATCCTTTTACAATGCTGCGGCTATTCGTTCGGCTTAGAATGTCGATGAAGAGGTCAAAGTTCCTGTTCATCGGGAGGAAAAAGCGATCCGCCGTGTCCCAGTCCCCGATAGACGCCTACAAGGTGAAATTGCGTCTCTTGTCAAGAACCGACCTCTCACCGGTACGGAGGGTGATTGGCAGACTGTCACGACCGAACATGCCTTCGACTCGATGCAGCAAGACTATCACGACAGCATTGCAAAGGGAACTGGAAGCAGTGTCGCTGATGTATCCGACGTGACGGAGCGTGAACTTCATCCTCGCTCTTATGGCTCAAGAGACAGAATTATTCGACATCCTCCTGGTAACAACAAGTACGGCTCATACCGTGTTCGCACCGACAGAGGAACGAAACTCCCCGTATCTGTCCCGCAGTATGGTGAAGGTCCTGGAACTTATGCCTCAAATACGACTCGCAATTTTCCCCAGGCCAAGTCCCGATTACCCGAATCTGCCGCTCGTTTCTCCAATCTGTTTCGCAGGGAGCCATCTGAGCAGACGCCCAGCCATGAGAACATTCTCCTCTCAGACCTGCCTCCCAAGAGAGGCAGCTATCAGAGCCTCGACTCCGATGCAGCTCTCCATGGAAACGCCCAAACCGATGAGACGATCTCGCCGGATGGCGAAAGGTACTTTGGCTTCAGCTGGAATAGAATCCGAAAGAATCTTGGTCGTGATCCTCCCAAAACCCCCCTAACTATTTTTGACAAGCCACTGTACAAAAGACGGTTCCAGGAGTCCAGCTCGGACAAACCTGCCCACGTTCCTCATGATGATTTCCTGTCCAAGATTCCTCGTCTTCCGTTTCCTCTTGTCAGTCTTCCCGAGGCCGCGATGTTGCAGCAGTTCAAACGACAAAGAGGTGAAGAGGATCACAGTCAGAGTGCAGGCAACTTTGGGGTCAGGGGAAGGTCGAACACGATCAGCACTGAAAACTCTCCTACTCTCCCAAAAACTCCATCTCCTCCAAAGAGAAGCTTCTGGCCTTCGTCCACGAGTGACAATGTCACGCGACCTGCCCGTATTCTTCACCTTCATCGACTGCCTCAGGCGCATCGTCCCCGTGATTGTAAGTTACAACGCTTTCATGTGTTGATATAACTGACGAGGTTATAGCAAATGACAGAGTCACTGATATGCTGGTTTCATCCTCCGCTATTCTCGATACTCCTCCTCCTACCGACCCAAAGTCAAGCACTCACCGTGTGTGGTATCGAAACTTCCAGCCAAGCATTTCCACCTCTCGCACTGGAGCCCATACTCCTGCATTCTCCACCAGCATCAATAGTCGACGCGTCGGTCATTGCCAGTCTGAGTTTGATCCCCTCGCCGACAGCCCCTTCACTCAGAGGGAAGCTCGCCTTATTGAAGAGGCCCGCGAGGATATTCGTATCCATCGCCAACATGCTGACATGGTCGCCCAACGCGGAAAGCGAATGTTCATGTGGGTCATGATCCTCACTCTCTTCTTCCCTTTCATCGGTCCTATCGTGCTCTACGGGAAACTCAACTCGACTATATCATGGTATACCCACGGAGAAATGCAATGCCTTACCAAGGATCAACGCGGCACTCTCAAGCAGCAACTTCTCGTTGAGGCTGTTGTCTATCCCGCAATCATCATTGGCCTCTCAGTGCACTACTCGATTTGAAAGTCCGAATCGGAATCTCTCGTGGCAAGGTGGGTTTTGGGATCGATTTTAGATATATATTGGGAAAGCAACGTCAGCGAATCTGGCAAGGCAATGATGGACTTAGCGTGGTGGGATGAGAAGTGATTGGGACTCAGGCATGGGCCTTGATACATGACTGGTTTTGTGGTCTTTTGGCTTCTATACTGGATGGTTTACACCGTTTCACATCCACCAAACGTAACATGCGTGGGAAGACCAGTTGAATCGGAAAGAAGTGTAATTTATCTCACCAAATTTGGAATTGCTCAAAATATAGGCATACATTAAGTCGTCCTTGGTAATTAGTGAGTTACGTGCCATGGTGTTGAACTCGCACAGTAAAGCATTTATGGTCAGGAATCGCTGCCAATCATCCGCTGTTTTCATCAATATGAGTTTAGGCCTTTAGGGGTCACAATGAGGCCATGGAATCTTCACCTGATCTGTCACCTATACACTCAGATAGAAAGTAGTGCCTATGACATGTGCGGCAATATGACGGGTCTCTATTCTTGAATCACGGTCGTGACGTCTGGAATCTCAGATTGGCCATTCCTCCTCTCCCCTGGGAGAAGTGTACTTTGGCTGGTCGAGAGCCCATAGACTCATAGCACCAAGCCTCAGTACCATCTCACTCCATTACATTGATTCCACCATGCTACAGCCACTTTCCGTCTTCAGATTTATTTCTTGTCAGAGCCAGACGAGTGAGTGTAGCCACTGGGAGATGTGTAGGTTGAGCTACCTTGGCCATCGTTGTGGTAAGTGCTTCCATTGGGGTTGGAGTAATAGTAGGAGCCATCTCTGGATAGAATGTTAGCTTCCGATATGCATCTTTGCCAGTTCACGCCTACGTGTTGGAGTAATGATAAGAGTTCGAGTTGGAGGCACTAGACCCGTAGTCTCGAGCGCAATAATGGTTGCCCTGAGATATTAGCAGTGACACAAATACGTGTGTAGATGGTGACTCTAACCTGGCTGTTGGTGCCAGAGCTCTTGGTGGTGTAGTCCTTGGGCATGTTTACTCGTTTGATGAACAAGAAGATGAAATGGGTTTGTTACTCCGAAGTTCTTGTGAGAGTTGCTATCGAAAGTTCAAAGGAGCTTCAGTCCCGGGGAAGTGAGCATTTTATAGTGAGGGGGAATCGTCTCAAACCATGCCTTGCCGTATTCACATCCATGTTTACTAGTAGTTATCTCTTGTGATGATTTCATTGGTGGTTTGCCTATTGCAGCTACTAAAGAGAGACAAGCGAGGATATCTTGAACCCCGCTTGTAGTCCAAGTTGCTAGGGAAGCTCGGCTTAGGTTGGTTGATGTTAGCAATTGGGTTTCTCGTTAATTAGCGTCAATAGCTCAAAACAAGATAACAGAATGACAATGCTAGTGTGGGACAATGTGGGTTCTATATAGAGCATACAGAGTAAAGCACAAACAACACAGGGATCGAGTAAGCTGCAGGAATCTTGCTTCACTGCGGTTATGAAAACTCTGTGAAGAAGTTGCGTTTCTTGGTGAGATCATTGCTTCAATGCTTTCCTGGAAACTTGTGGTTTATGCGTGCTTACTGTTAAACCGGAAATTCCGGTCTGACCTGGGTCTGTAACATGCATAGGGTAAGTCAACATTTGTGAAGTCAAACTCGGCATCTGAGGGACAAACAAGATTGCCTCATTGACTATTTACTCGAACATCCGCAGGATTTTATGCAGTTAGGTCATTTCAGCAGTAATTTTAAGTTGTTGTATGTAATTTGCTCCGAATGCAGTTTGACGCCGCATGTTTGCTTTGTAAATGATGAGGATGTGTTGCGATCCGCTTCCTTAAAACCGCCGCAAGCTTCTGAATCACACATATGTAAAGGCAATAAACTTACTTCGTTTCCTGTAGAACTTTGAAATAACTATCAAAAGATAAGAAACTAAAAGAAACTCATTTGCTGAACCAAACACTTCGTCATACAACTTAGCAATAGTCAACACCGCAATGGCACCCAAAATTTTGCTGTAAGTGCCAATCATACATCACTTTGTATAGTATGTGGCCACTGAAAAAACTGACTTGTCGTTCTAGTACTGGGGTCACTGGTAAGAATGATCCTTCAAGCGGAACTTGTCCAAACTGACGCTTGACAACAGGCTTCGTTGGAGGTACTGCCTTTTCAAAGATACACGATGCCCATCCGGATTATGACTATACCCTGTATATACGTAGCGAAGATCGTGCAAAGATCATCTCGAAGGAGTACCCCCAGGTCAAATTCGTGTATGGGGACCTTGCGAGCACCGATGTGATCGAGAAGGCGGCATCTGAAGCTGACGTGGTTATTCGTAAGTTCAACATACCTCGAGAATGAGTGGAGAACCATGACTTACACTTGAGAATAGATACGGCAGAATCTGCAGACTCACTCCCAGCGGCAAAGGCAATCGCAAAAGGTCTTGCCTCTGGCCATACAAAGGAAAACCCGGGATACTACATCCGCCTTTCGGGAGCAGGCATCCTGACCTGGTATGATCTCAGGAACCAGCGCTATGGTGAACCACCTCTACCAGAGCAGAGTTACCACGATATCAACGACATTGATCGCATTCTAAACCTTCCTGTTGAAGCGATCCACAAGGATGTTGACAATGCTGTCCAGAGTATCGACTCAGATATCGTCAAGTTCCTCATTGTATCACCTGGTGTTATCCACGGAACTGGTCTCGGGTTGTTCAACAAGACTAGCATGACAGTTCCCGGTTTGGCTCGAGCAACATTTGAACTTGGCTACACCCCTTTCGTTGGAGCTGGAGAGGCAAAATGGGACTACGTTCATGTGGAGGATCTCGCAGACTTTTTTAACAAAGCTATCGAAGCGGCCCAGGATCCCTCCAAGAAAGAAGACACTGAGATATGGGGCAAGAAAGGTTACTACTTTGTCAGTGGTGGTGAACACCAATGGAAAGACCTCTCAACCTGGGTTGCCACTGAGGTTCACCGTCAAGGGTATATACCCGAGTCTAGGACTCAGTCTGTTACATTTGAAGATGCAATGAAAAATGGCTATAAGGCTGGAATTGCGTGGGCCATCAACTCTAGGGGAGAATCAGAGAGAGCGAGGAAGTTTCTGGGATGGGAGCCCAAGGCCCCGTCTCTCAAAGACACAGTTCCTGAGTCTGTGGCTTTGGAGGCTGAGATTCTCGATCTGAAGCCCAAGTACAAATGAGACACAGAACGGACAATTAATGATTGTAACGTGGCATCGAATTTCAGGGCAAGGGTTTCTTGGCGACTGTGGGCTGGATGGCGTCTGCGTAGATGTCATGACGTACCACTTTTATGCTGGGAAATATGAAGCTATTCGCAGACTTGATGCAGAAATATTTAGTACGATTAACAGAGTTGCCCTTGAGAATGAATTTCACCACACTTACAATGCCTTACTATACTAGTTCTCAAAAGATGCCAGGGCTTTGATCCTCCCTCATTGTATTGTGTCATATTGGACTTTATCACCACAGGTCTATCTGTTGGCCACTATTTTGAGCCGGCAAACATAATCTCATGTTTGCGAGTATGCATCATCACGTATTAACACAGCTTCATTGGCATCCTCGTTGTGACCTAGCACAGTCGACTGTGATGGCCTGAGAGGTATCTCCCGAAGCATCACGTGAGGTTTGTTCTGTGGCATGTTTCAACTCTTGACCTGTATCATCACAGCGACCACTGCTTCATTGTTTCATGTCTCGTTCAAGGTTTAACCAAATAATGCTTAAGTCTCAAAAGCCATTGTTATTACTAAGGTAGGGGAGGAAAGAAAACTCAGGACCTTGATCCTAAACGATAAAAATACTTAGGTAACTTAGCATAAGTTTAGGATACCTTTTACTTAATTTATTTTGACACCCTATATCGATATTCGATGTGTTCTTGCTCCCTGAGGCCAAGTTCCAGAGACAACAAGGTACCTAGCTAGAACAGCCTCGACGTTGATCCGACACTACAAGAACGGTTCAAGAGTTGTCTCAAGGTTACCAAGAGTCGCCATTCGTCAGATAGCGAGTCAGACGGATACTACGATAGCACTGGTGGTTGCAAACGAGTAAGTTAACAATTCGTAGACGCCGCGGCTCCGAAAGCGGCAAAAATAGTAGAGTCGGCATTGCCGTCAAGCTTTGGGTACACAAGCTTGAGGGATAGCTACTAGTTGGGCTGCAGTGGTAACTTAGTAGCTACCTGGTTCCCTCTCAGGCAACCGAGGATCAGGAACTCGGAGATGAAAATTTGATCTAGGTAGAGGCGGCTAAATCCTTGCCACTCACTGGCCATAAGCTGAGTGATGATTTGTTGAGGTAAAGGTAGATCTCTTTCGAGGTTCAAGGTTCACAGTACAGTGTTATGTTTCAAAAGATGGCTCTCGCACTTTATTTAGCCACACAAGTACAGCATGCATGCGGTCTGACAGGCTGCCAATATATGTATTAAAAAAATGGAACATGAGATAACGATGCCAAACTATTGGTGACTGGTAGTCTATACCAAAATTATCAATAACTATCCCCGGGCTTAGAATTACATACCTCGTTCCCGATTTCTCGCGCTCTCAAAAGTGCGTGCGTTTGGTTGCTCAGCAGAATCGAAGGAGAAAAAAAAAAGAATGGAGCCTTGAAAAAAACTCAGGCGAGGGACTTTACCGCGATAGGTTTAGTGGAGGGGATCCTACCCCGCCCCGCAGAAAAAGTTCACAGGTCCCTCCAAAATTTATTATTCTTTTAACGCAGCGCCGCTCACAAAATCAGAGTGGGAGAATTTCCTTTCCTTTCTTGAAACCCCACGTTCTTCTTCTTCTCCTCTTCATCCTTCTTCCCTTTCCACCACAAACCTTTCAGACAAGACAAAATGGCGGACGAAGTGTATGACGGTGCCATTGGCATTGATCTGGGTATGTCTATTGACTTCTCTTCCGATGCTGCTGGTGTTGTTGTCGACATGTTTTATTCTTGTGCGCCGCCATCGGGCGACTCGCTTCATGATGCCCTCACCAGAGGACTCTCAAAGACAACACACTCAATGCATCCAACATCTCACCAAAAGCAATCGCTAACACCGCTCTCCCACAGGTACTACCTACTCCTGTGTTGCTACCTACGAGGGTACCAATGTCGAGATCATCGCCAACGAGCAGGGTTCTTTCACCACCCCTTCTTTCGTTTCCTTCACTGATAAGGAGCGTCTGATCGGTGAGGCCGCCAAGAACAACGCTGCCATGAACCCCCGCAACACTGTCTTCGATGCCAAGTGAGTTTTGTCCTCACCTCCAACGCACAAAATCCCAGTTTCTGACTGATATTCTCAGGCGTCTGATTGGTCGTCGTTTCGATGACCCTACCGTCAAGAAGGACATCGAGTCTTGGCCCTTCAAGATTGTCGATGACAACGGCAGCCCCAAGATCGAGGTCGAGTACCTCGGCGAGAACAAGCAGTTCTCTGCCCAGGAGATCTCCTCCATGGTCCTCACCAAGGTACGCACAAACTTCCCCACCCCCGCACTAGTGCGATTTTTACTGACTCCTCCAAATAGATGAAGGAGATTGCCGAGACCAAGCTCGGCAAGAAGGTCGAGAAGGCCGTCATCACTGTCCCTGCCTACTTCAACGACAACCAGCGTCAGGCCACCAAGGACGCCGGTTCCATTGCCGGTCTCAACGTTCTCCGTATCATCAACGAGCCCACTGCCGCCGCCATTGCCTACGGTCTTGGTGCCGGTAAGTCCGAGAAGGAGCGCAACGTTCTCATCTACGATCTCGGTGGTGGTACTTTCGATGTCTCCCTCCTCAACATCCAGGGAGGTGTCTTTACCGTCAAGGCCACCGCTGGCGAGTAAGTAAACATGCGTCTGGAATCGTAATAAGAGATATTAACACACTTAAGTACCCATTTGGGCGGACAGGACTTCGATACTAACCTCCTCGACCACTGCAAGAAGGAGTTCGGCCGAAAGACCAAGAAGGACCTCTCTGGCGATGCCCGTGCCCTCCGACGTCTCCGAACTGCTTGTGAGCGTGCCAAGCGTACTCTTTCCAGCGGTGCCCAGGCCACCATTGAGATCGACTCTCTCTTCGACGGTGAGGACTTCACCATGTCCATCACCCGTGCCCGTTTCGAGGACCTCAACGCCAAGGCTTTCTCTGGCACCATTGAGCCCGTTGCTCAGGTTCTTAAGGACGCCCAGATCGAGAAGAAGGCCGTTGACGAGATCGTCCTCGTTGGTGGTTCCACCCGTATCCCCAAGATCCAGAAGCTTCTCTCCGAGTTCTTCGACGGCAAGAAGCTCGAGAAGAGCATCAACCCCGATGAGGCCGTAGCTTACGGCGCCGCCGTGCAAGCCGGAATTTTGTCTGGAAAGGCTACCTCTGCTGAGACCTCCGACCTTCTTCTCCTCGATGTCGTTCCCCTGTCCCTGGGTGTTGCCATGGAGGGTAACATCTTCGCCCCCGTTGTTCCCCGCGGTACTACTTGCCCAACCCTGAAGAAGCGGTATGTTTATTTCCTAGTTCTCAAGTTTTCTTCTTTTCTTCTTAATTCAATTCTGGTGATATCTTTCTGGTGGTTGTCATTTGGGCCAAAACCCAGCCTCGTGGGAAATGACCCACATTCCACATGCTCTCCATATGGAGCCCCACATTTCCCAGCCTTATCCTAACCTTAGCCCTAAAACTCTTCAGCATTACGATAACCTCATCCATCATTCATCGAATTTTATGAGCATTTATGAAACTTTAGATGACTTTTGAACATATGCTAACGATGAATTCATTAGAACATTCACCACAGTTGCCGATAACCAACAGGTAATTTTCTTACCCTTTCTAATCCCAAAAAACATTTCACTAACCTGTAACAGACTGTCCAGTTCCCCGTCTTTCAGGGTGAGAGAGTGAACTGCGAAGATAACACTTCTCTCGGAGAGTTCACTCTTGCCCCTATCCCTCCCATGCGTGCCGGTGAGGCCGTCCTCGAGTGTGTCTTCGAGGTCGACGTCAACGGTATCCTCAAGGTCACTGCTACCGAGAAGACCTCCGGCCGCAGCGCCAACATCACTATCTCCAACTCTGTCGGCAAGCTCACCACCGACGAGATCGAGAAGATGGTCAACGATGCTGAGCAGTTCAAGAGCAACGACGACGCTTTCCAGAAGAAGTTCGAGGCCAAGCAGCAACTCGAGTCCTACATCGGCCGTGTTGAGGAGATCGTCTCCGACCCCACTCTGTCCCTTAAGCTTAAGCGTGGCCAGAAGGAGAAGATCGAGAGCACTATCAGCGACGCCATGGCTGCTCTTGAGCTCAACGAGTCCTCTGCCGAGGACCTCAAGAAGCAGGAGCTTGCTCTCAAGCGCCTTGTCACCAAGGCTATGTCTTCCCGATAAATGCATAATGCTGTTAGGAATTGCAGCAGTGTAGATATTCTGGAGTACTGATGCTGGAGCAAAGAACCGAGCACCCTAGACGCCTCGCGAGGGGCGATTGGGTTTACGACTGGCCACGGTGGATTTTCCTTTGTCGTTTACGGTAATTGGACGAGGAGAAGCCAAGGCATATGAAAAGTTCTGCATGTTTCATGGGTATGCCGCGCTAGGACATGGGCGGCTATGACTACTAAAATGAGAGCTGATGGAAAAATGGTCCAAGGATGGTTGTGGGCTTGTTGGGCCAGAGCCTGCAAGAGCGGTTGATAGCCTGTGAATTTAAGCATAGACAGGGTAGAATGCAGATACGGAATGATGCCTTTTTACCTACCTAATTATTTGTCCTCAAGTTGCTTTGTGATGTTCTATGATGATTACTTGGCTGTTCATGGTGAGGTATGATAGTGTTTGGTACTGCCCCTGTGTTGTTCCACTATTACTCATGAGTATTATCAAGGATACACCATACCGGTATTGTATCTCAATGGGGGCAAAGGCTTGCCGAGGTTGCTCTCTGAGTTTTTGATACTAAAGTTATTGGCGTTTGAATAAAAGTATTATTGGAGTCTAGGGACAAGCAGTATGTAGCTGGGAGACTGATATTACAAAAGTAATAAGCTTAAAAATTAAGCAACGGTGAGTCAAGACTATTGAGGAGTAGGTATAATCTATCACTATAAGGAAGTGGTACTTGTTTGCCATTTGCTTACCTTATATAGCGATGTTCCATAATAATCGCAGTAAGATTTGATGAATTTGCATGCAACTTGCCCTTTTCTTTTTTCAATAATAATAATAATAATAATAGACGCAGTTAGGAATCGATTACGCTACTCTCAGACGTGGTTGATCTAAGTGATTTATCGGCTATCCCCTGATGAGTTTCCACCGAGTCTATTCAAGATATTGCAATGCTCTGAATACCATATTATAACATTTGACATAATCTACCTATTTTGCAATACCCAAGTAAAACCCTATGATGAGTTTATAATATCTTTATAATATCTTATGATGACTTTATGATATATTGTGATATAATTATCATTAAATTCACCTTTACTGTATTCATTATTTGCACCGGCAGATGCCTGGCTTATGCCAACTTATTACAGCTGCCAAAGATCCATCCTGATGATATTGAATACTCGGAGAGCGGTACGAATCCGGTAAGCCAGTCTATCTAATTTAACATTGTCTCATGCAAACATTCTTTAAATTTGTTTATTGCTCAATGAAGTGGAAACACAATGACGCGCTGTATTTGGGAATTAGATGAATTCTGCCTTCTTTCGATGCTTGACAACCTCCACATGACAATTGCCAGCCATTAGCCAGAACTTTCTCCGTATGCCACAACTTGATTTGACCATGGCATTAGATGGCAATGAAGTATGACCTGTTGATGCAAGCCTGTTGCCCCCTAGGCTGATATGTAATTACCCAAGATTCCCCAGCAGGTTCCAATCCTGAGCAGCCGGAGGTAGTACATAGTAGCGGTGCATTCAGACCACTGTCAGTATGTTTCACTATCGATTTGGGCTGAGTTACAGTCAAGCCCTGGTAGATTAGAGTAAACAGAAGAAATTTAGGGCCTATGGGACGCAGTAAATTCGCCAGTGTCGTCAACTGTTGAAAATAGGGGTCATAACATAAGAGTTCATACTTAGATAGCCAGGTAAGGTAGCCAGCTAGCGAGAAACTCTCTAATCTTAGGTAAAAAGTATACCAATCTGCGTTAAATCTATGATTATTTGACTTGAAATTTGAATTATTCAGAATTGATATCCCAGGTTCTCTTGCCTTTGCTGTGAATCAGTTGCTGAACGCGGTCTTCTCTTCGAACGTGCGTGTCAAAAGTACAGTCATGTCCAATCTCATAAGCACAGTGGCATCCATCTCAAGATTTTTTAACGGACTCTCTTATTCTATGAATCACTGTGGTTCCTGAAGGCTGTTACCTCAGGGTCTTAGGCAACAATCGAGGTGAGTGACCTGATTCACCGTGCTCCAGGGCAGCAGCGGCGGCCTTTGCTCTTTCCATGCTCCGGGTATAAAGCCTCTCCCCTTCTCCCTCCAACCTTCTTCTTCCTCCTGTATCTTCATACTCTCTCACTTCTAGTCGTTACCTAAGACAGGGCCAATATGGCCTACAACAATACATCACATGGCAGTTTAAATGCCCTATCTGAAGCCTCATTCCAGAAACTTAGCGATGCTGTGTGAAGTGATACTTCCACGGTATCGCACAAGGCCCACTGCGACCGTGTTGAGAAGCGCCTGTGCAGTGGATTGATTATCCATAATCAGCGCAAGAGACAAACCCGCTGACGCTGAATCCATACCACAAAACCTTCGTCATGTACAGGCACCCAGTGACGAATTGATCCAGCGTCATATCTTAGTCGGAGGCCGCCACGAAGCGCTGTACCGCTTCTTGTCTACTTCGGAGTACGGGAAACACTTGGTAAGCTTGTGGATGTATCTGCTTCTGGATATTAGCCGCGACTGACACTAGTTGTGATAGGAGTATCTCGGCAACACCGAACTTTACATACATCTCAGCATTTTCGATGAGCCCAAGACGGAGCTCAAGCATTGGCAGAGGGTGGGAGTTAGCAAAATGGTATGCCTCGTGAAGTCGCCTTTCAAGGGCGGTTTCCTTGCCGATTCGATGAGGTTAGGAAAAAGTCTCCAAGCATTGGTCGCCGCCCTTGAGGTGAAGTGGACCATGTCCAAAAGGTCTGGCTTTATTGCAATCGTCACGCGAGCTGGTTGCATCCTCCAATGGGTAGACGAAATAAAGCGACACTTCAAACCAGTGAGTAAACATATCGCTATCTTGGCCACCCAGTTACTTATCTTCTCAAAGGAACACTGCCCATCGTGATTCATCCCCGACGATGCCAAGATCAACACGACTCTCCTCTTGGACTACGACATCGTAATCTTCTCTCGCGACTTCCTCAAGTCCTGATACAAGGAAAGTGTCACATTCGAGAATATGTGCAATACCAGACCGGCATTGGGGCCCGTCGAGGCTCGGAAAATCCGCAGAGGAAACGTAGAGCGCCCAAATCTCGTTCTGCATTCCAACTACTACAGCTAAATCAATCGAAACATCGTCGTCCTCATCCTGGATGAGTCCCATGATTGCCGCAACGACGAGTCACTGTATTTCGATTCTGTCAAGTCGCTGAAGTACCAACATCTGTTTATGTTCACTGGTACACCAATGCTCAACCGTTCTCACGACATCGTGGGGTCAGTCGCGACTCTTGCCAGGTGGCGGCCTCTTCAGGACACCTTTTTACGAGGATGAAGAGCAGCAATTTCCTAGAGGGTCTAAATCCCTTATGTTCGATCGTCTATATCAGGGCTTGATGGTCTCTCTCCCCAAATCGGTGGTAAAGCTGAAAGCGACGAAAGCAGTCGAGGGAAGATTCGAGTTTGACGATCGGGTAACTATCCTGATCATAGGTCTGACGAATACGGGAGGCAAGAAAATTTATAACCTCAACCTCAATGATAGAAATATTTAGGGAACTCTAGCCTAAACTTAGGACCTGGATCCTAAATAATGTCATTATTTGGGCAACTCTACCCTAAGTTTAGGGGACTTTTTACTAAGTTTATTTCAATATCCTTCTCTCAAGTCCCAAGTTTTCTTGCTTGATGTCCCTCATGACCTTAGCACTTCTCTTTCTACAACACCCAAGCAATGAAAGTCACAGACCAAAGAAAGTGTGATGACTTTGGTCTGTATGTCTTTGATGTATCTCTCAGTCGATGTGGGATCATTTCTTTTTGACACAGATCTTGAGAAATATGAGCTGACCATCATTGATAGCCCTCCTTCGGCACATAAAAAAGGTGTTGGTGGTCTTAACAATGCCCTAGTAAGGGCGGGTTTCAGAAGAGAAAATGATCGAGCGGAATCAAATACCACGGGGTCTACCGAGAAAGGCGCCTTGACGATCATCTTCCATACTTCTGCCACTTTCTATCTCTTCTCATCATGTCCACTCCACCCCATACTACTAGTAGTGCACAGATAGCCAATAAATTAGACCCCATCTGCCCGGGACGGATAAATACGACCATTTAACGCAATCTATTGGACAGTTGGTTAGGTATGAGATGTTAAGAGACATGCCGAGCTTTATATCATGCCTGATTAGGTTTCGCCCACATCCCGCTTACAAGTCACTCGTTTAGGGAGCTACGATAAGAGGAGAAACCCTCAGCCAGACGGTTAATACCAATTTGTAAAAAGTCCGCTATCCAATTATTACGAAGTTTTCCCTTCCCTATGAAGAGACTTCCGGTCAAGGATGTGTTGGCTCTGTTCTTAGTTCTGTTTCTTGTTGATCGCTGCCTCATATGATGAGGCTCGAGAGAACCGCTTGTAAATGGAAAGCAGCGGAAGTCAGTGCCCGCTGTAGTCCCAAGTAAGAAGGTAATAATGAAATCAATATGATGTCGTGATAAAATGAGAATTTCTGCCTAATCTTTCAGCCTTTCGATGGCTAAGACTCATCACAAAGGCTGACTGCTCATGATAATGGCTACAGAATTGTCACTGACAAACCACATTCATACTCTGCAAGACCAATATCATACTCAGCTCTTGCTTTCCTCAAAAATATCAGCCCTCGAACTCTTTTTGTATCTCGACCTGCACAGAGCGTGAGGTCTTTGGGTTGTGACCAGGGTTGAGGCATAAGTGTTAGTTGACCAATAAGGACAACTCCTAAGCGCCGCCGTTGCAGCCTGTCGCTAAACCCTACCACCCCTGAAGAACCAGGAACTTGGTATGGATTTAAACTCGCTTTGTCATTGTCTAATCAACGTCATTTGCTAGGCGCAGACGCGCTCTTGCGCGCTCGACCATATCTCTTCGTGTGAACCGCAGTCAGCCCAGAGTCGATTAGCCGGTGTCACCACGACCACAACATGCAGGGAACTTATAATTACTCGGAAGCACTTCGCGTGACCCGAACTAGTTTTCGACGCAAGGCGAAGCTCTTGTTGGTGACTAGATTAGTTACGATGCAGCAACTCTGGCTCACTAACACCCACACCGTCACTTTCGGAAGACGGACAGCTTCTTGACGGCTTGGGTCATCCGTACTCACGGCACGGTCCACCAGAATATGCAACTCGTATTTAGTTACTTCGGAGTTCTCCTGACTTGATGTGGTGACCTACCTAGTGTCACTCTTGGGAAGGTGGGTGCTGCCCCTGCTAGGCAGTTATCTCAAGAAGTGATTATCAATACCTGCATGGCGATAATTTCTTTGTACCAAGAAGCGTGCGAAACCAACACTTCAAACAAGGGTAATATGTGATGAGTTTTTGTGAACGAAGACAACTCGAGCTAGTCTTATCCGTGCCGTCCCGTGCCCCATGTCCCATGCCTTGAAGTGAGTCGAGAAGTGAGAGAATTAGGGATGTTGGAGCTAGAGTACTTTCTTCTACATCGGCTACATCTCGATTGAGAGTGTTTTAGAGAACTGAACCAGTCACGGAGCCACTTTGCATGTAACTTGTTGGTTATGTATCGTGAGACGATGAGGTTTCTGTTGGACGATCTTAATCAAGGCTGCAGCTCGACTACACTCGTCTGAGAGACATCCAGCTTGGAAGGTGTAATGCAGGTATAATGCAGTATCAATCACTTGACTCATACGCCATGTGCCAGGGTACCTTTACGGGGTCTCAAAGGAGCAGACACAGATGCATGATAGTGGTTGCGTGTCGTCACCTCAAGTCGGACCGTGACCGACCGAAACTAAGCAAATAGTTTGTGCAAATATGCCTATCGAAGTTTCTCAAGCTCTACAAGCCTTGGGGGCCGTCGAAGGAATCAGGCCGCATCAAAGGCCGCCCACGGGAAGATCCTAGGGCCGCAGATGATACTAGACACACCAACACTCTCGGCTCTTCGGGGTTCAAGGGTCTGACGACACCAAGATGTAAGCGGTCAGAATGCGAAGAGCATTGCAATATTGCTCTAAGGAAAAGATCGGAGGAACTCGTGCCAAGGGCCGTAGAGAGTGTGACGATGAGACTCTGTTGCATGCTGATCTAGTGTGTTGCCTGTTGCCCACTTGCTTCTGAGCTCCGGGAGGTCATCCGGAATGAAAAGTACCAAGAAGAGACGCAAGGTTCGTGAAATATCATGCGCAAAACGGCCTGAACCAACACAACTTAGGCCTTTGAAGACTACATCGCCAAGGGGGTTGCAGGTGTAGACGCAGGCGCAGACGCAGACGCAGATGCAGACGCAAGAGGTAGTAGTAGGCGCAGCCGCAGCGGAGTTTGTCTCGTACAGAGTGGGCCGGCCGAGGGTGATGTTGCCGATTTACCAACAACCGCGCCAGAAAGGCGCCGCTGGAGTCAAATTATCGACTCATCGGCTCGACGTTTGCTGTGATGGGTTGAGGCGCTTTGAGTTGATGTGAAGACAAGGTAAGGTACAGCCGCGCGCCATCACACCCAACCTAAGCTGCAGGAAGGTGCAGGGGGTTATCGGCCCCCACCTGGAGAACAAACAGGGGGGGTGTGCGGCGGCCTACTGGCACTGTGCATATAGTGTAATTTTTGGCTACGAAGACAGTGTCAATTCTATCAAAGGTTTCTGTCGAAGCAACAACTGTAAGCGCCCCATGACAGGGGTAATAGCTTCCCTGATCAATCTCAGTCCAATCAGAATTCAGCAATACTTTGTAGTAGGAAAGAGTTCTTCTAGTTGAAGCCATCGGACCTGCTTTAGTATGTACAGAAGGATGCCAGACGTGGTAGGTCAGCACTGTAAGGAAGAAGTTCAGATACTGCAAGGTACACGAATTATACTTCAGATCATCATCCAGCCTACAACGGCAGTTGTATTTCCACTTTACCAACAGACAGCATCCAAATCAAAGAAAGTCTCCTTTGACTTCCATGTCGATATTGGCCCGCTTCGGCATCATCACTCGACGTATAGTTTCACACCCACACAACTTTTCTGATGAAGATCCCAAGACCGGAATGGACAAACCGGCATATATTAACTTGAATATGGCATGATATGGCACGGCACAACATGGGGCACTTTGGGATAGTGGAACGCACAAACTACTGCTTTGTCACACTTCTCATCATCGAGAAGGGAATGGTCAACCACAACCATGTGTGACAAACCTCTCCCTTCGTGCATCGAGTCATGCAGCAGCGCGGAATTGTGTGAAGCTATCCCAGACTCCATGTCGTTCGTTTTCGTATGCACGACCTGATAGTCAAGAACGAGGCGCAGATAATACCCTTTGTGGAGTATAGAACAAAGAGACATGACGCACAATCAGGAATCATCCCCGTCTTTACGAGATGTGGATACACGGTTGGCTACATTCTTCACGCTTTCCTTGGTGATCGCTGAAGAAACTTCCAGTATCAGGAACAGCCGACGTCTGCTCCCCTTGGCATCTACATGTGTTGTTGGCTCGTCGCGGATATTCTCATGGTGTGCCTTCGGCGGCCCGCGCGCATGATCTAGCCTGCCATATCCACCTAGACATCACCCCGGACAGGTCGCCTTGACGAAGTGAATTACTCAAAGCAACAGCGTTACTTTCATCCGCCGCGTCAAACTCGGCAACGAGAGTTTGACCCGTCGATACAAGCGCGATATGTATATTCCCACTCACACAGGCCGCTGTCATGTACTATATGCATCTCCATAACGGTGTTGATACGTACAAACCTTAGTGGCTGACAGGGCTCTGCAGTCTTTCTTTGTTCGCTCTCAAACACAGCTAGTACCTGACCATTTGGACCTTTGACAACCCCAGAACGACCCTACATCCCGTCGTCTACCTAATCTACATAGGGATTAATGGTCTCCTCGCGGATCATGTGCAACATCCGCTAGCTCCACAAGGCGTTTAACGCCTCTCGCGTCTTAGCTTAGCCAAGGGACAAGGAACAATAGCAGAACCCGGACCAACAGACACACGAAGGAAGAAATTTTCCTCAAGATGTGCCGAAGAACAAGTTGGTAGGTCACCAAGAAGATCGAAAGAACGTCCAAGGGCCCGCATTCATGAGAAATACCAATTTCTGTGGCGTCATGACACAAGCCGGTATCTGTTGGTCGCAATTGAAGTCGACAGCGGGAGAGGCATCAATAGGAGTGTAGCATGTACAGAGCTGTCACGTCCATGTGGCAGCTCCAAAAAACGGCGACTTCGGCAAAGCCGTCTTACTTGTTTGCTGAAACAGACCAATTGCCAGCGTCATACTCTCTGGCCAGGATCACCTTCAGTGTTCTGAAAGGTTTCGAGTAATGGATGGTAGCATGGGTACAGGCTGTCATCTGAACGTTAGGCCTGCAACTTTACTAGTGGGAACTCGGGGCGAGCTTTCCCGCTCATCGAGCAAGCCATCAGCTTGCAAGGGAGCTTAGATCTTTGACGCATGCCGTCGATTACGGATGCAGGAATCGTTCAGGATCAGTTTTTGCAGCATTTCAAGAAATTGGGCTACGAGACAGCAGCTCAACATGTTGTCCGACCTGCACTGCTCCTCGATAAAAGTTTGTACGATGCCATTACCAAACTAAACTAGTGAGTGTTCACAGGCTGCAACGTGTGGCAGCAGGCCACTGCTCACGGCAGGCAATCGAGCATCAAGCAAACTGTACCCAACTACATAAAGGAATCGCAATTGCTGGCCCCTCTACTGCGACCATGATGTTGACGACGGATTTGAGATGCATGATGGTGGTTCCCCTCAATGCAGAAGAGCATGTCCGCAGAGTGTGGATGCACGATGACCCATTCTACAAAGGGCCCCATTGAAGCCAACATGCTCGCACAATCTCCTTCACAGTCACACCGCGCGGAATTCTATGAGGGCTCTCAGACCTGTATCGGAGTCTAATGCTGTTGGTCTGCCCCAAACTCCCTTGTGGACTGATGTGCCTTGACGTAAGTCAACCCTTGGGCCAGCCTGCCAACAGAGCGTGGTGTTGCCGCACACAGGCGACCTGATTTGGAGCTCGGAGGTTATATCTCAGTTTACAAACTGATTGCCTCCTTTTCCAGAATTCCCCTCGCCTCTTTTCTGTGGTGTTTGCGGGGACAGACGGCCGAGAAGAAAGAGGAGTGCCTGGCAGTACATTTTGCGCACCAACACACACCCCTCCAAGCCTCACCCCCTGGCCGGCCCAGAGCCAACTGACTAGGTAGCTAACCAACCATCCTATCTAAGCAACCTAGCTCCTGGTCTTTCAACACCTGGGAAGTGCAAACAGGACCAACAATCCGTCTTCCTTGCTCTCGTTTTGAGGGTTATTTCGACTTTCACATTGTGGAATCTCCAAGACACCTGTACACATAGTGTCATGGACAGTAAACTGCCTCGCTCAGTCATAATCGTTTCCAAACCCTCGGGACCGTATCACCAGCTATATAAAGGCCAAGGACATCTGCCTCAATCCGATATTCACAGCTCAGACTCAACAGCACTTCAAGCCACTGTCCTACATTCAATATTACAAATCATCACTCTGAAGATTTCTTCCCTTGGAGGTCTCATTACCCTTCAGCTTAAACTCCAATCCTCAGCCATATTTTGGTACCAATCCTCCATAGTCTATCACAGCAGCAAGCCTCTTTCCGTCAGATACACAAAGCCACACCCGTCGGGACAAGTGTGACCAAATACTCACACAAACTTCTCGGATCACGGCTGTGAACTGCCAGTCATCTCTTGAGTCAACTAGTTCCGGCTGTCAAACAAACCAATCCTCGCACAACGCCAGTTTGTTGCTATATATTGAAGCACCAAGACAGAGTCTTTAGCTTCAACAACAGACAAAAACTCTCTTGCATTCTCTCCAAGGTTCCAACTTAAAAACCATCAGCAAACATGTGCTACTGGAGAACTACCCAGCACTGGACTCAGTGTGGCTGCACTGTTTCTAACCTTGATCCTCAGCCCGGCACCTCCTGCCGCTGCACGAGCAACGTCACCGATCAGGGCTCGACGACGTGGGAGGGCTACTGTGGACGTCCCCAGTGCCCTAACCCTCCTCGGGCGACCTAGTAGGTTGGTATCTGAGTTTCACTTTGAAAGCGAGCCTCTACGCTGCAGTGCAGCTAACGAGTGTCACGTATAGCGATCCTCGATACCCTCGAAGAAAGGGAGAAAAGTTATGAGCAGAGTACTAGATCTGCAAAAGCTTTGGCTGCCCCCGCGCAAGGTGGAAACGCATGGTGATCATGGAGGGGATTTGTTATACCTTTTTTTTTTGGATTTGTTTCTGAGTCCATAGATGGACCGTGGTATCCCTGGAGTTGTTTGGCAACAAACTCGGACTCCCAGAACAGCACAGATGAGAGGGTGATACAGTCATTTCCGGATTTCAGAAGGCCTCACTGTGGTTTATTTTCATCATGTTCTTGTTCTTATTTTTGTTACTCTTATTCTTCTTCTTCTACACTTACCTATCTACTTTCCTTGATAGTTTGAATTGCATCTTTACTTTATCTCACAAACCGTTTTGACATGCATGGGTTATGTGCCCCCTTGCTTAATGGAGTTGGAAAGGAGTGTGCTTGGGGGTGTGTGAATAAAGAAATATCCAGGATCCCATGTTTCCGCTGTCCTTAGGCGAGATTTCGAAGAACTGGGGTATCCTCGCTAATAGCCTTAACTTTTGCTTCTATTTGGTGGACAAATGGTGACCTGTCTTGCTCTCGATCTTATTTCTCGCATGATATTATACATTCAACTCCTATATGTTCCAGTGGAAGTCAGGTTGTAGTTGTCGGTTTAAGTTTGCCCCCACCAACAGTCACACTGATCCTAGGTCTGGCCCAATCTGCGACCCCCTACGCCACGCTACGCCACGGCCATAACAACGGCCCCAAAGAAAGCCACAGCCAACCCATCAATGATGCAACAAAGGAATATGTTTTGAATATATTTTGTTCTACAGCCTCAATGTGGGTTCTGGAGAGATGAAAACGCCTCGCAGGCGTCTATTAGGACTGTGCACGAGGATTGAAGTCACCGCCTCTCAAGGTCTAAGCTATGGGCCTATACAGAGAGGAATGTCCGTGTAAGTCAGCCTCTTGTATAGATGCTACCAACGGCATCGTGAGCCGTGCATCAGTGACCCTTTGACCTAGGTAGTCCAATTGGATATGATCCTTCTGTTCCTTCTAGTAGCAATTAAGGCAAGGCAGAGTTCTGAGAGATGTCTCACTGGGAGAATCTGCCACCACGTAGACATTTAAGCGCCCAATATCTATCTGCATGTACTAGACCAAGGTAGTCTCAGCTCTCTGGCCAAGTAGACTAGTGCAAGCTGAGTCCGATTCATGTCGATTTTAGTTGGTTCGATAGTTGGTGTAGGTATTCAGTCGGTGAGGAGTGAACTATTCCTTTCTGTGTCTTTCTTGGTTGGTTTATTAGTATAGAGATGGCGTCTTGTCTTTTTCTTCCACTTCTGGTCGACCAAGCTTTTAGTACCTGGGCAATTTGATCAGTTATGAAACACCCCTGGCCCTGCCCTGGCCTGTTGGCTTTGGATTGGGTGGAGTTGAGACGAGCAGCTGTGCGTGCAGACGTCACTGATCATGTGACTTGGTTTCATGGTATCTCATTGCTGGGGTGAGCGAGTCTTGAGTAAAATCAACCCATCAACACACAGCACTCAATTGAATTGAATCGTTACTGAGAGTAATTTCTTGATAATTGGAATTGCTTATGGGCCTGTCTGTCAATCTCTTTTCATCGACTTGATGGCACAAGGGCCAAATGCAGGTCGTGATACCTGCAGTGTTTTACCCTCCTAGCGAAGGAACTCATCCTTGTTCAATTGAAACAGGTCGTATTTACTAGGTGCCCTTCAAACTCAGGCAATCAGCAACCGAAACCTTTTTCTCTCATCTTTTCTTTCTATTGTTGGCAGTCGTACAGTATCAGTACAACTGCCAAAAACTCCGTGCACCCCGAAAACCGTCACACAGCAACACCCGCCTGACTCAAAAGAATAAAAAACTCTCCGGCCCGTATGGTACAAACAGTCAATATCTTCAGGAGATGTAACCTCCACATCTCGCTTGCAGTAAATGCCGTTGTCCTCCCGTTGCCCCCTTCGCGATCCGCATTATACGGGACGTGACGTGCCGGCCCACGACATGACCGCCTCCATCTGTAACTATCCCCGTTCTCATCACATTGGCTTATGCGGCCGACGGTGAGGACTCTGAAAGAGATTCTGCCCAAGTTGGAACTTTGCTGCTGTCTAACAAGGCTGGCGAACTTCTTTCGCACTGGGTCGATGAGTCTTGCTCTGCTTCAGCCGAAGACCAGGACTACTCTCTCTCTCTCTGTCTCGTCGGGCCACTGATTCACTGACCGCTGAACACTTGCGCTAAAGCTAGGTTAACATGTGTGCTTTCAAATCTGGCTTTAGCAACTCTGGTTGAAAATGAGAGATGTATGTGATTTGTCTATCAACTTGATAGGTTGATAGAGAATCGGTAGCAAGCACCACATAGGTAGGCAATCACAATGGCAAGGCTACCTTACCTACCTGAGATCTAAGTTCATACCAGAGAATGATTGCCTCTCTCCCATTCTTGTTACCATCAAAGGCTGTTCAAATCTGTTGATCACACCTCCTCTCATACCGCTAACGGCAGAGCCAGATTCTGGTAAGTGTTGTCTATCCAACAGTATCTTCCCTTTCTTGTCTGGCATTTTGGCAATTCTCTCAGACGATCCAAAATACACTGTCGCAATCCTCTTTCATACCTTATCACTTGCTCTTCCTTGCGCTCAGATGTCAATTGCCCTTTTCCTTCCATATTCTAACAATTGAAGAGCGTTCATCAAGATGGCCAACATCGAGAGAGGCCAATCTGATGTCGACCCCTACTCTCTGAGTATGGTAGAGTTTCGTGACAAGATCAGAAAATGCCCAGACGCATCAATGGCTCGATCTCGGGTCCAGAGTGTCTTGGACAACTACAACCGGATGCGTCTCGACATGCCCAAGGCGATTCAGCTAAAGGTCGCCACGTTTCTCAGGCACGAGAAATGGGTAGATAGCCCGCGCACCCTTAGCCAGTTCAGACTCTATCATATGTTGACAGGACGAAAACGCACAAAATTTCTAAACTTCTCAGCCTGGCTGATTGTGGCGGCTATTTGGCCATCCCACCCGCTTGTCCTTGGCATTGCAGACGATATGTCACGGTTTTGGGAGCACAAATTCCCTGATACGCGACCTTTCTTCCCCAAAAACGTCTCAGAGGAGAAGGCACTCCTCAAGTATGATGGAAATCCCGTGCAGGGGGATGAGGACCCTCTCTCGGATGCTGACGATGGAGATCCCACAGACAACAACAAGGGGGATAATAAGCGCGAGTCTAATTCGGGCGATATTCTCGACAGGGCCACGAAAAGGCACAAGGTTGACCGAACTACCACTTTTGCCAACAATAGCATCCCAAAGCTTTCCAATGTGCAAAAGACCCCCGTTGCTGAGGGCCCGGAACAAGGCAGAGTTTCTTATCTCAAAAGGAAAATCAAGGCACGGGACGAACTCATCAGCGAAAAGGACGAACTCATCAAACAACAGGACGCGCAAATCAAGAAGCTGGAGCGTCGGCGTGATCGAAGGTTCAAAGATGGGGACAAAGACTTCAGAAGGCTCTTCGATCGTGTCGAAGCGCTCAAGACAAACCTCAAACATGCGGCTGAAAGGGAGCATGGTCTGCAGTCGTATGTTCGACAACTGGAAGATCAGATCAAGCATCGAGATGAAGAAATCGAGAGGCTCTCTGATCGCAACAGAAAGCTCAAGGCAGAGAACAAGGATCTGAATCGCACTTCGCAGACGTATGCTGAGGGACTTGAAGGGGTGATCAACCTTCGAGGCAAAGAAACCGAGGAACTCTCTCATGTCAACAGAACAATCGAGGTGAAAGTCAAACGGATGTCCGACACGGAGAGAAGTAGCAGGCGTATATTCAGCAATTGATTATGAGGCTGAAGGGGCGGAAAAGGCGCCACAGGAACAACCATCAGACCTCGCCATGATACAGCTCCTTCGGGAACAATCATGACAACACAATGAACGAGATGAAGGCCGAGTTAAAGTTTAGACGGGATGCTATTGCTTGGTACTTTGACAGACAAAGTTTTGGGGTTTGGGGTTGTTTTAACAAAGAGATATTGACGTTGTTCTAGAACTCTTCTGGTTCTGCTCTGTATACGGAAGGAAGCTGCAAAGTTTCAAGGCGTTTTCATCATTCATCATAGGGAGGGATGCCATGCGAAAAGGAGTTTGGTAGTTACGTACCAATGTAATAGACATGTGCTAACCTTTCTCTTGTTCCTCTTCCTATCCTTCATCATCGTCGCTATCATGTGGCTCATCTCATCCACTAGTAAAGTTCTGGCGCTCCTATTTCCTTGTACAACACGCGCCTCTGCCTCTTCGGCCTCCCAACGCTCAAGGCGTTCTTTTCTGTCACGCTCAAGCTTCTTTTCAGTGAATAGCCGCACCTGTTCCATCGTTCGAAGGCCCATGTCGCGAAGCGCTTTGGGTACAGTCCGATGTGAAGGCATTGCGATTCTTCACAGTTGGAGAGATGAGATAGAGAACGTTGATGAGAGTGTTTGAAAGGATTGGAGGCTTGGATTGGGATCTACTGTAAATAGGAAAGCTTTAATCTCCCTGATTGACGGCTACTGACACTGCTGGCCCTTTGACAGTGAATTAATTACACTCACACCAGTCGCTCAAGTCACGTCACGTTACGTGTACTAACAGCGAGCATGAATCCTTAACATCGTTTTATTCTTCTCCCTCTCCCATCTTCAATCCATTTCTTCCTTTTTTCATACCTTGTTGAACTCTTCCGTGTATCGTTCCGATCGATAACTACCACAGTTGTGCTAATACTTATTGACAATTCGCCAAGGCTTGTGGGAACTCGATTCCAGACCGCAGGCTTTCATTGACATGTCAATGGCACTGGTTGGAGGCGCATTGGCCAACGAGACCGAGGACATCGATGAAGCACTCTACCGAGGAGTCATCGCAATCTTCTGTACGTTGTAGAACAAAGCAAACAAGAGCGATGACAACATTGGTGACGGGGAAGGGGAACGGGATGACGACAATGATACCACCACAGAGAGTCCTGGACGCCGATGAGATGCTCGAAACTTGCCTACGACGCTGCTACGAAGGCTATGGGTTCACTCCCTGCGCAAGAACTCCCGCACGTTAAATCGAATGCGCAGCTGGAGTTTGATATCCTCTGTGATTTGATCCCAATCAAGGGTCGTTTGATACGGGCGATTGATAAGAAACGCAACGCCGTTTTGGACGGGGGCCCTCACGAAGGATATTGAATCTATTCTTCAAGGTCTGTCTTCGGAGATGTCTCAGGACACTATGAAACGAAGTTTGAAGCAGATAAACCTCATCTCTGTACTGGAACTGGATGCCGTTTTGGAGGAGGTTTTGACAATGTTGGTCGCTGAGCATGAAGGATATCAGAATCTCAGGGACGCGTTGGTCGCTTCGTTTGAGGAAGAAGAGGAGACTGGTGACACAGTAAATGATGACCAGTGAAGCTCATGGACATGAGTATAAGAACAGTACTGGTTAAGGGAGGTACATGGATGATACATAGCATAGTCCTCGGGGCGCAAGAAGACTTCTGACATCAAACTGAGGTGCTGAAAATACTTAGTCTAAGATTCTCTAAATCTATACTAAATTACCTTATGCCGAGTTTACCTAAGTTTACCCAAGGCTTTTTGTCATTTAGGATCGAGGTCCTGAGTTTTCTTTTCCCCCCTATATATATGTATCAACACTGTTCATATCAACAACTCTATCCTTCCGATCTCGTGCCGAAATACCAGGTTCATATCCATCCATCTACATAAGGTACCTTACAGCTACGATGAGTCTCGAATTTTATCTTGTATTGGACCGGTTCTGGAAGCCCTTCAGATGCCCCACTTATCGGCCGCGGGGGATATTATGCTTAGCCGCCACTGGCTGCTCAACTTGAACCTCACAACATAATGCTAATCAGACGACATGTTTCGCAAGAAGGCTACAGCTTCACGGGAACCGGAAATATTGGGCTGTAGGCATCTAGGGTCTGGATAGTAGAATGCCGCCGTCACGGAACGAACCAGTGATATCTCGCTCAGATCAGTGTCCAGAGTCGTCATCATAGGTACCGCCGCCGTCATGACAACCCCGGAGGTCAACAGCCTCAACCTCCTCGACCTCCCCGTGGACATCCTCAGCATCATCCTAAAGCCACTTGTCACATCTTCAACGCCTATATGTCTCTGCCCGTGCGCCAGATCAACCGTCAACCCGCTGCCCATTCTCCTCTCCCACCCAGCGCTACACACCATCGCCACTCCGCTGCTGTACGCAGGAAACGAATTCTTACTGGATGCATCAGGGTCCCATGCGCAACACATCCGCAGGGAGTTACAGAGCGCTCCGCTCGGAGCCGACGACAGACTTGCCGGCCGAGCTACGCTGCTCACAACACGAGATGCTCTACGCAGAATAGCAAGACTGGAAGTACGAATTGATCGTTTGAGAGGATGGATAGGGACAGATATTATACCACTACTCACGGAGCTAGCAGTGCAAGGAAGAATGGACTACCTCACAGTCTGGGTTCGCACCCCCATCGAGCCGAGGACTCCGGTCCATTTCCGCCCTGCCAAGCCGGGAAAAGATCTGGACATGTTTGCACGACCACCTCTGGAGGGCTTGATGCGTGTCCTGGCAGATCCATACTTACTGTCAGCGCGGTTGTGGGTAGACGCGCGGCATGCAAAGACTTGGTGCCGGTTCCATTGTACCGGAGGATGCGGAGCGGAGAGTGGAGACCCGGGACGGGAGCGGGCGAGGGTGGAGATTGATTGGCGGGAGATAATCCGGGTGGTAGATCCGGATAGAAAGGAGATTACGGTCATAGGCACTGAGAAGAAGTGGTGAATCTCACAAGCAAGGCAACTGGATACCATGAGCATGATCTTTCAGCATTTGACGCTTGTGACAGCACATTGATGAAAGCTGAGGGTGTGTGCTGTGCTGTACGTGGCGGATTATGGACGGTCAGAGACGGCACAGAAGCCGAGATGTGCAGTGGATTTGTATGTGATGTGGAAGAGGGTGTACGATATGGTTAGTCCTAGCAATTGATCAACATGTGAAGGTTTCTCAGATAGATCAACATATTGAAGGGTGCATTGGAAGGGAGTTCACAATTATCAGTTATCGCCATGTTATCCTAAGTAAGTGTCAGGGATTCAGAGACTAAAGGTTAGGCTTAACTTGAGTAAACTTATAAACTCGTCACGAGGTCTATCATAGCGCAATATGCTTGGACCTCTGGACAGGTACAGTACGCACAGTAGAATAAAAGTGATCGGCATGAGCATCTATGTGTGCCGTCTTGGCGATGCTGTTCAACCTTTCTCCTGGTGTAGCTTCGCTATAAAGGCAATCTTATTCATACATACATACCTCATGTCTCAAATGCGCCTCCGTACACGAACGAGCACGGTCTCTGAAACAGTCCGTTCCTATAACCAACCATAGCAACTAGAATTGTTCTACACGCCTGGATATCCCCGTCGGAAGACCGAGGGATCACCGTCAGCTTCCGGTAGCAAAAGCAGGTCACACGCGCAACGAGCTTTGAAATGAGGAATGACGTATTTCCGTGTCTCATGATATCCTACCAATTGACTTTGTGACAGACAAGCCGCTTCCCCCGCAATTGGCCCAAGCGTTGATTGAGGTCGGGGATGAATGAAGCCTAGTTTGGGGGTCCTTTTTCTATCACCACCCACGCTTCGTGGTGTTTTATGGGATAATAAGCTGACACATTTATGGTTTTCAGGTCGGATGCCTACTTTTAGAAGAAACACCCATCTTCGTTTTGCCTATTCTTATCTCTGACGCAAATAATGCTTTGTACCTCGGCCACTTGAAAAGGCCGGTAATACTGTCCGCCCCCCCATGTTGTGCACATTCACAAAACAGTGGGATTTTGACAGGAAATGCCGACAAAATAAACAAACAAGACAAAAAGTGAAAAACTTCAGTGGACGTCATGCAGGTTTCTCGGTCACCTCCCGAAACTGCTACCCCAGGGGGCCCTGAGTCTACCGAGAGCCTGGACAAAAGACCATCAAGATCTGATTGGGTCGTGTATAAACAGATCATGGTTATTCAATAGCAGTCGGATATAGCAAGTCTGCGCGGGCGGCAGGCTCCGGCTATTCATGGCACGTTCTTTTCTTTCTTTTTTTCTCCCTTGATGCAATGCAATGCGAGACGCGGCGCGGTAATGCTACGCTATCTAGACTAATAAGGAGACTAATTAGGTAGACCATCTTTTCTGTGCATTTGCACATGATCGGTCTAGAATCAATGAATTGCCGGTATTTTATGGAAGGTCTGAGTTTATGGGTGTGCAGGCAGACATTTCCTGTGAGTGTGTGTGTATGAGCAATGGATGGATGGATCATGGATGAATGAATGGACAAAATGTGAAGAGACAACTCATTGAGTCACGTCAATTGCCCACACTTTGCTATCTATGCCAAATAATAAGACCGAAGATCAATGATTGATTGACTCACAAGAAAAGAAACCCGTGTTGCAACTAGGCCAACTGATAGGGCAGCCTTACAAATCTGTCTGCCTGTCAATCTCACCGCAAAAGGCACCGCATTTCTATCCATGGCACACGGTCTCAATGCCGAAATGCCCATGGGCCATGGGTAGGTATCTATCTATCTATGATCATCGTTACTCAGGGACTCGACCTTTCTGGCTGCAGATTCGACACTCTTTGCTTTATTCGGAAAGGACTGGAATCATGATTTGCCGCTATCAATAGGTAACTTAGGTAGTGCTAGGTACCTACTGTACAGCATCATCCCAGGGAATAGTGACAGTAAAGTCCTCCCCCCTTTCAATTCCAATTCCATTCTCTTCTGCCCTTTCTTTTCTCAGTGATGAATGAGAGAGAGATAGAGATAATAAGGAAATGCAAAACAGCAGTAAACCTCGCTTCAATTTTCCTTTTCCTTTTCTTTTTCAGCCGTTCAAGACTCTTGCTTTCACAGGATCCAGACCAAAGCCGCCCACCTCAATCCTAATCCCGCATGATATCGATTCTCTTTCTTGTTCTTGTTCCATTCAACCGAAGCTGAAGATGCCCACCCCCATTCTTTTTTCATAGTTAGGGGGGCCCTTTTTTCTTTTCTTTTTTTTTTTTTTTTTTTTTTAGTCTTGTTTTTTTTTTTTAATTTTTTTGATCAATTGTCGGATCAAAGTGGTATCCCGTAAGTTTTTGCTTGGTTGTGTTATATTCATAAAAATCGAAATGAATAAAATAAAATCATCGCTTGCGCTGTCATAATTTCACACCTTTCTCACAAAAGCACGCCATTCACACAAAGGTTATACCGTGACTTTCTTTTTTAGTGAAGGATAACATCGTGAAAGTCGGTCTTGTGCTCGTCAGCATGCTCGCCATAGTGAACAGGTCCAAGCTTGAGGATGCGATAGCTGTTGTTGGAGCTGGAGCTGGACGAGCTGGACGACTCAGTTGAGGCTCGTCGAGGAGCAGAGGGACGAGTGTGAGAACGGGCAGCGGGCTTCTGAGGGTATGAGGGAGAAGTGGCTGGGGCGAGAGAGAGGAAAGAAGACTTGGGAGCCGCGGTGAGAGGGAGGAACTTTTGAGGAGGAAGAGCAGACATTGTGAGTGAAGTTGATGTTGTTGATAGTGAGATATAGATATAGATGTAGATGTAGATGTAGATGTAGATGTAGATGTAGCTGAGGTGGGCGAGACAGCTGCTGGATCGAAAGGGAACAAGAAAGATAGAAGCGAGGCTTTGTTGTTTTGGTTAGAGAACAGAAAGGGAACTCATGCTCATTTCGAGCGAGAGATGCGTCCTCTTTATGCTTTCATGATCCCATGGAAACTCGCGGCCTTGATCTGCCGTCTCATCTCAAATGATGTGCTACTCCATAGTCTGTCTCTCTGTCTACTAGTGTTGATACCAACCGACACAGACTTATCATCCACCCCCCGGGGCGTATCCCCTGGCCTGGCCTGGCCTGCGTTTCCCTTCCGTATCGCCGACTGCACCCAAACTCCGCTCCCTGTCTGCCTGTCTGAACTAAAAACATGGAGGGACATGCTGTGCTATGTCCGTAGTCTGGTGCGAAACTAGGTCCCGCTATCCCGCTCCCACCCTCTTCTCCTTTCTCTTGTGTTCCTTTGTCACCGTCAAATGCTAACAAATTAGCACATCATCGTCATACGGTCGTCGCGTCGCGTTACAAATCTCAAGATATTGACGTGCTAAACTTTTGCCACTGTCACTGTCAATGTCACAGACTTTCATGTCACACCCACAGACAGACAGCCTCACACACATACTCACAGACTCACACCCCGGATCATACGGACCTGACCTGACCGCACCGGGTGCCCACCCGGTCCCCTTCACTCCATGATTGGTTCCCCCGGCCTCAGGGACTTACATACGTGACAAAAAAGTGTCGACCAACTTCTGTTCCACATAATCTTTTCCATTTTATCAACGATTGCCGCGTCTGAGTCCTCCAAGACCCTCTTCTATTCGCTCGCCAACCAGTTTCGCTTCCAGAAACCCCAAAGACTTGAGACGCGACTATGCGTTGCACGTGGGGGTATCTCTGATACGGACCGGTCTCTGATCTTCATCTTGCATCTGTTGCCTTGCCTTGCCTTGCTTCGAGTCAAGATTGCAGCTCGCAGCAATCAAATCAGTCCTGTTGGCAGTACATACATACACATCTCGGGATCATCCACATTTTCTCATCTTCAGGAATTCTATTTTAGGAAATCACTCGAGTTTAAGATGTGCTTAGGAGAAGTTTCCAAAAGTCATATATGTATTAATGATATCTTATATAGTCAAGCCAGGTACGTAACGTCTATACATGTAGCATACAAAAAGACCTGGCTTTTCCAAGTCTGGCCAGTCTCCTCGGGGCTCACCATGGTTTCATCATCTATTGGTCCATGCCCCCTTATACTCCTCGAGAAATGCAAACACATCCACCGTCTCATAGAGGTAATCATCAAGGTGATAATAAAGCATGTACTAGTGTATTCTACTAGTAAAATCTATCATTTACCACCATATGATTACCTAGATAACATAAAAGCAATGCAACGCCTGTGTTGCTAGCATCATTCTCGAAGCCACTAATTCCAAGTTGTTTTCTTTTTCGCTGTTACCAAGATAGGAATGCACCCACCCACCTCCATTTTTGCCTACACAATTTATCGCTCATTTGACGGCGAGTTGGGAGAGCTGGTCTTGGTTAGTGACTAGTCACGAAAGTATTACCAAGGAATCCAAACTCACTATTGATTGCCAGACGTTCCTGGACCCGGCGTGCGAGGAGAGAAAGCAGGCGACGTCGGGGAGTAGCTCGGGCTGGTCGGCGACTGCTGTGCACCAGGGCTCCTCTGGAAGCTTGGGCTTGTTGGGGAATAAGCCTCAGGAGACGTTGGAGACCATGAAGGTGACGCCGGAGAGTAAGAGGGTGAGGTTGGTCCAGCCCCATGAATGTTGGGAGATGTCGGGCTGTAGTTGGGGCTCGCCGGTGAGTAACTAGGAGACGTGGGAGAGTTGAATTGTGCTGGCGATGTAGGCGAGTAGTGTCTAGGAGACGAAGGTGACGTCGGCGAGTAGCTGGGCGACGTCGGGCTGTAGTTGGGGCTTGCGGGGCTTGTCGGACGCAACATCGGCGAGGTGGGAGAGAATGATGGTGATGATGGGCTGAAGGAAGGAGATGTTGGTCCGTAGCGACTCATGCCGCCACCATCGATGAGCGGTGATGTCGGAGAGTATCCCATATTAGGTGATGACGGCGAGTAACTGAATGGCGATGTTGGGGATGTACTGCTGAAGGGGCTG